ATGGATTTGCCATTAAATTCTCATTTCTCAAATACCATAATATCATTTTATATATACCGTGTGGTCTTTGAAATATGACCAATTTTAAGTAAATATCATAAAATCAATTTTAGTAAATTTTCTGAACATTTAAAACTCTCCTAAAATTGTAAAGTTTCAAATTATTTTTTTTTATTTGGTATATATTTATTAGGTTAATTAAAATACACTAATTTGCTTAGTATATACAGGGCGAGTCAAAGCAAATACAGTAAAATATATTATATTCCATATAGAAAATATATTTTGGTGTAAAAATAAGTTTGGAACGTTCTGTATATTAAAAAAATGCTACTAATATCCCATAATAGACCTTTTCTAAAAAAATAAACAGCAAAACATGATATAAAGTTGTTTTTAATGTGGTTTTAGTTGGCTACTGTTCTGGAAGTTGATACAGAGTTAGTAAAGCAAGCAGTGTCTCTGTATTGTCGTCTACATTTTGCTAAGAAGCTAGACCCAGAAAGTGACCAAGAAAAAGCCAGAAGACACCCTTCCTGGTTGAATGTATCAACCAATACCGATAGGTATTAAAAAATAATTAAAAATGACTTTAGTTTTAATTCTAACCTAATTTTTCAGTCCACAAGCCGACATAACCCCCCTAACACTGACCCTAACCTCAACAGACCACGCCCTCGCGACTCCGTCCACGCCCACGACGGATAGTCCCACCCACTCGACCAATCACAGCAATTCTACTGGTTTGAGGGTGGCGTTCTTGTTCGACTCGGCCTTGACGGCGTTTTTGATGATGGGGAACCTGTCTCCCGGCCTGAAACGTCACGCGGTGACCATGTTTGAGGTTGGAAAACTGCAACACGAGAGTCTGGACAGTTTTTTGTGTGAATTAGAGAAGGTATCGGCCATGGATGCCGACGGTGAGGGAGAGGCTAGGAGGTTTTTCGATCACGCCGTCATTTTGAGGTTAGGATTGTGTTTTTGGCAGAGGTATAGAGGTAGAGAGTAAAATTTCTAATCACGGCGGCCATCATGATTATAGTTTCTGCTTATACTTCTATATCTCTGGTTTTAAATATACCTATGTTTCTATAATAAATTGTTGTTTTTATATGTTGATAATTTTTATATGTTATCCAAATTATATTTTATATGTTAATAGATCAACTATTATGGCCTTGCGGAAGCTAGATGGTCCTGGGTTAGATTTAGTGAGGTTAGAAAGTCTGAATTCGTTGGACGAAGCCGCTTGTCAGAGACTGTTGAAGAGGAAATACAGGGTGTTGATTGCTATGGCTCCAATTGGTCGCGAAGTAAGTTTTAAAAATGATATAATTTTTTTTGGGTTAATATTTTTTGCGAAAATTTTCTAGGTTAGGATATCTTCGTTCGCTGCGGGAGCTCCGCCACCTCTTCTAGGCCCCATCCATCCGGAGGTTAACAGTTTATGGTTTAGACTCTTTTTGTATCATATGACCGGTTACGGACCTCCCAGTTTGCTTCTGGCCAAAGGAACGGAACTTAGACGACTGCCCAGGATGTTTTTGGGCTTTTCTAGGCTCTTGGTAGGTGTAAATTTAGCTCTAGCTTGTAAAAAACTGTGAAAGATATAAAAAAAAAACGATTTTTTTATATCTTAGAGCATAAAACACATTGATACATTTTTTTCGTTGGGATTTTGTAGCCTACATAATTATTAAATGACGCCACACTTGGGCATTAGCTTAATTTTTTTTTATATTTTCTAGACGTCAAAAATCTTAGACTATGAAATACATAGACACATTTTGTTTCGTCGGGATTTTGTAGCCAACATAAATTAAATAATGTAAAAATGTTAAATTAAATGACGTCATACTTAGGCATGAGCTTAAAAAATATATTTTATAATTTCTAGACGACAAAAATTAAGGATTTTTTATATATTAGACCATGAAATGCATAGACACATTTTTTTGTCGCGCTTTTGTAGCCAACATAAATGAAATAATGTAAAAATGTTAAATTAAATGACTGTTATACTTGATATTGAGCTTAAACAAAATGTATTTTTCTATGTGACAAAAAACAAGTTTTTAAATATCTTAGACTATGAAGAACGTAGATATTTTTTTCGTCGCGATTTTGTAGCCAACATAAATAAATTAAATGACGTCATACGTGGGCGTGGGCGTAAAAAATATTTTTTTATATTTTTGAGACGTCAAAAAATAAGGATTTTTAATATCTTAGACCATGAAATACATAGACGCATTTTTTTCGTTGGGATTTTGTAGTTAACATAAATTAAATAATATAAAAAATATTAAATTAAACGACTGTTATACTTGGTCATGAACTTAAACAAAATATATTTCTATGTGACAAAAAAACAAGGTTTTTAATATCTTAGACCATGAAACACATAGACACTTTTTTTCGTCCTACATTTTTTGTAGCCAACATAAATAAATTAAATGACGTCATCCTTGGGCAGAAATTGAATTTAATTTTTTTACCTACTTTTTCTAGGTGACATCTTGGCTTCACGAGCCTGCCGTGGTTCCAGTAGCGAATTTTCTCTACGTTAATGCTGCCTTACAGTTCGCCCCTGTGTTGATTCAGGGTTTTGGCGTCCACGAACCTGCGGAAACCAAACTGTTACCGTTCCCATACAAATCAGAGGATTCTGTAAAAAATAAGTAAGAAAAAAACATATTTTTTTATGTTCCTACATTTTTTTCAGATTTTTTTTACAAAAACAGAATATTTAAATTTTGTTGATTTTTATATTATGTTCTGTTGTTGAGAATATACTAAAAGTTAATATACCTATTGCACTTATTTTAGAAATTCTAAGAAATATTAAATAGACCAAATATAAGTTTTTTTTAGAAAAGTATACATAAACGTTAAAAAAAGTGTATTTTTTCAGTCGTTCCAATTCCGATACCGAATCAGTATTAAAGCGCCACCCCGCTGTCACTATTTTGACAGATCTACTCGACTTGAACCACACCTGCGGCTACTTAACCTTCGCAAACGTGGGAGTACTCGATTTTGGCAGAGCCGAAGGCGAATCGGCTGAAATTAGGTTAAAAGGTACTCATTCTCTTTTTGTATCTACATTTTTTAATAAAAAAAAACTATTTTTTGTTACTTTAGGAGCACCAAAACCACGACCAGGAGCTTCCAAGACCACCCAAAGCTCCAACAGCATATCAAACGAGAACTTCCGCTTTGAAAAGAAGGAGGAGAATAGATTACAGAGTCCTGTAGAGTCGCACTTCGCTCTCACGCCTGTAGATGGCGGTAGCCACAGATCGTCACCGACCAACGGGTTTACCAGGTAAAAAAAATTATGTTTTGATGAAGATTAATAAAAAAACGAGTATTTTAATATTTCATTCAGTCAAGATTGTACGACGTTACTTCAAGAAGAACTAGACCAATTAGCAATTCAGGAGAAACAGAAGCAGGCCTTGGAACAGCTCCAGAGCCCTCTGGACGAAAACGTAGGCATTTTCAGCCGGATACAAGAAGAACTTGACAGTCAGCAAAAAGAAGAAGAGCAGGTAGCTGAAGTTAGTGAGGAATCAGACAGAAACAGCAGTGTAAGAATAAAAACTACTTGCTGTCGTTTGAATTTAGTTAATAATTGTTTTTTTTTCAGGTTTGGACACTGCTTGATTGTCATTTCGGGGTTCCCCTGTTCGATGCAGACGCCAATACGAAAATTTGTGATGCTATTGTATCTGGAGCGCTGGCAGAAGAGAATAGGTACTGTTTATATACAGGGTGGCCCGAAATGTATTCTGGAAACTTCGCCAGCATATTCTGCAGATAAAAATTAGTAAAAAAGTTTGTAGGTATAAATGTATAATATAAAATGCTTAGTTTTGGAGATACAGGGTGTAGAAGTTTCATTTTTGTTAGCGATTTTTACCAAGAGATCTTTTTTACGTAAAAAATCGTCGTAAATATATATTTTTTTACTCGGTAATTTTATACAGGTACGGATGAAAAGTTATTACCCTTCAAACCAGTTAGAAAATATGTAGGTGGCGCCCTCTACATGTCGGAGTCATATTGACATCAAACTCAAGTTTCTCATGTCAAAAAACTCCCAGACACCAACTTTCATCCATATATTGATGTTATAGTCTGTCCAACGAGAAGATCCTTGACAGTGATAGATGTGTCTGTCATTTTAATTTCAAAGTAGTTTATTTTATTTTACAAAGAAATAAGTTGGTACAACTGGAACGCATAGCAGGATATATTTAAAATTTCATTGACAAGATGACAAGTGATTACTTCAAAATATTGTGAAAAAAACTGTATAAAACTGAAAAAATGTAATCGAGTTATTTTATTTAATAAAAACGGTATGTGTTAATACAAAACAAACAAGAACAAGACACTACATACCAAAGAAATATAAAAAAAGAACTATTATTTACTTTCAAGCTTTATGAAACTACCCGCATTTATGATTTTATTTATCA